TTATATAATTATTTAATAAAATTTACTTTTTTGACATACATTTATTTAGATTTACTTAAAATATGTAAGTAATGAAGTAATTAAGAAAACAAAATTGATAATAAGATATTTATTTTTTCAATGAAAACCTTGGTCAAAGGAATCAATGTTTGATAAGATAGTGTGAAGATTGGAGAGAAATTGATAATGATTTTTTTGTTAGCCAATTGTGATTTTATATTAAATTCTAAATAAAAAAATATGTAAGAAAGGAAGAAAGAGAGGGATAAATGGTGATGATAAGGATTAGAGAGTCTGTTATGATCATAATGAAGATGAAAATGAATATAAGTGCGAGACTAAATATAAGTGAGATAGATTCTGAAATCATTTATTAATACTATGTGAAAGTGTTTTGAAGATTTAACAAAATCTCGTGAAAATTTTACAACCAAAGAGAGATAGAAAGAGTTTTAAAGTGAAATGTTGAGGATCATATTAAGGACAAGGGTAAGAGAATGAATATATGTGATTGTGAAAGAGTGAATGTAAGTTTGAGAGATTTTGAGATTATTTGATCAACTAAAAGAGAGAGAGAAATAAAAAGAGAGCGAGAGAGGTGTACAAAGACATATAAAATAATGCAAAGAAAAATACATAAGAAACAAAACGAATGTGTGAAAAAATACAAGGATAAACAAAATAAGTAAGATAGAAAAATATATAATAAACAGAGTATCTATGTAAAAGAGAAAGAACGTTACAATATATTTATACATTTATATTATCTTTTATTCATACAATGTATAGATTATATTAATGTCCGTACAGGCGTGCGGACCGTCCACCTAGTAGCTATTTAATTTATGAGTCCATTATACGCTGAATCCGGGTGGTGGCACAATAACAACATTGTCACAAACCATTAAACTTATAATCATGATTAAGGAATATTAAACAAACTTTTGTGCATCTCTAATCAACTAAAAATAAAACTCATATTCTATTGACGTTATAAGAAAGGCAGTGTGTTTTTTTTCTCGTTTGTTACATCACCGAAGATATTTGATAATATCTACAAACACATACGATTACGATAAGAAAACTCATATTAACTATAGATTGTGCATGACATCATTCAATTTATACAACATACATCTCCACGGAACAAAAAGACTGATAATAAAAGTAATTACACTAGTAAAAAACAAGGTCATAGCCACAGTTAATATTCGTAGCTATGGGTCAATTTTCGTAGCTATATGAGCTTTTGCTACGAAAATGCTACGAAATGAAAAATGTAGCTATACGATCGTAGCAAAAAAAAACCGTAGCAAAAATCGAAGCAAAAAGCAACGACGTTGCGACGATGAATTCGTAGCAAATAAGCTACGTTTTGCCACTAAATAATACGTAGCTATTTTTGATACGAAATAAACCATAGCTAAAACCGTAGCTTTCTAAGAAAAATATATTAAAAAAAAATATAATTTGAAACAAAATAAATTAATAATTTTTGTAAAAAAAAAATATATTGAAACGAGCATTGCTTTTACAAATTAACTCGATTAACGTTTACAAATTAAAACTAGATTAAGAACTAAACCAAAAAATAAAAATAAATCTAATGTCCGTCATCATCTTCCTTTTTCTTCTCCCCGGCCAGTTGCTCTACCATCTACGGCGTAGCTCCTCTGTCTTCTCCGACATGTCTCCTACGTCTTCACAAGCGTAGCTTTCAGTCTACTCCGACGTCACTTTCTCCGTCTTCTCTAAGCTTGCCCTGATTCTCCTGCACACTAACAAAACCAGATTCAAAATCCAAACTTTTACAATATAGGGGTGAGAGGAATAAAGACGTCACAGATGAGAGGAGGCTTACGGGCAGAGGAGAGATGTCATGAAGGAGAGATGTCATGGAGGAAAGAGGCGTCACGGGCAGAGGAGGAGGCGGCACGGTGACTTTACGGATGAGGAGCAGAGGAGAGGAGGCTTCACGGTTCTTGGTGATTTTTCGGAGAAGAGCAATAGAGGAGATATGAAGGAATTGTGTTCATAGAAGATGTGTGTTCATAGAAAGGGATGGTTGAGACTTGGGATACTGAATCTGTTTCAGATCTGAAAACGAAAAGAGAAGTAAAGAAAAATTGAAGCAATAATGAATTGTGGCCATTGATTTAAATTTATCAATGGTTGAGATGATGATCCTTGCCATCACATTTTGACCAATGAGAACAAAGTTAGAGCACATTAACAAGTTATTCGTTGTTTTGAATAAGACAGCACATTAACACCAAAAAATCCTTTAGACATCGGCATATTTAATAAGGCTTAGAATATAATGTTTTAAATTTGGTTTTAGATTTTAGATTTTAGATTTAGTTAAAAATAAAAATACAATGGTTAAGAATTATTAATTGTAAATGTTAATTTTCTGTGTTTGAATTTGTAAATGTTAGATTTGGTGTTTGGATTTTATGATTTGGGATATGAGGTCTAGGGTTAGTATATGATTTGGAGTATAGTGTTTGAATTTTAGATTTAAGTTTGAATGAAATTTTGAATTAAGTTTAAGATCTGTTGTTTAACCTTGAAAATATTAAATTTAGTGTTTGGATTTATGATTTGTGGTATATAGTTTTTATATAGAGACTAGGGTTAGAATATATGTTTGAGTTTAGATTTAAAAATTGAGATTAGATTTTTAAAATAATTAAAACTTAGATAAGTTTAAGATTTGAAATGATAATATAAAATATTTGAGAATAAAGTTTATTTTCAGAATTTAGGGGTTAAATATATATTTAGGGTATAGGGTTTCTCTTTTTTTTTTGTAACTGAGGGTATAGGGTTTCAAATAGCCACAAAGTCTTTTGTAAAAAACATGACTATTTGTAACAGCTATGTAATTTTTAGTGGCAAAATCGTAGCAAATTTTTTTTTTTTAATATTGGTCATGATTTAAGTTACTTTTTATTTCGTATCAAGTTTGCCACAAAAAGATTCGTAGCAATTTCGTGACTGTTTTTGCCACACTTTCTTTTCGTAGCAATTTTGTAGCATATTTGCTACGTTTCACTCACGAACAGCTACATTTTTTATTTCGTAGCATTTCGTAGCTGTGTCGTAGCTTTTTGGAATTAGCTACGAAAGTTATGTAGCTATTTCGTAGCTATGGCCAATTTTTTTACTAGTGTTAAAGTTAATGATGTGCATAACTCTAACTGGCGCTTTAACAATTTAGTGTATGATGTGTTCTTTTTTATTTTCAAGTATACACATATTTGAAGTCAATTCTACAAATTGGCCCCAAAAAATTATCCCCATTTCATACTTTATCGAATATGAAAACATGTTCCGACCATGTGATCAAGTATGCCTTTTAAAATCAATTTGTTATTATGTCGACCACATAATAGTGTCACTTATAAAAAAAAATAAGCCTTGGGAAAAATCGTGATTGCAAAGTTGCTATTATGTATAAATCGTAGACGCATTTTCAGGTTCTCAGACTCACCCAAAGGTATAAAAAGGTTTAAATAAAAATGATGAAAAGCTCAAAAAGATTTCAAACACATCACAAGGGATATTGTTGATCTGATATGATATGTCTTCTTTTAGATATATGAACAGCTTTTTTGGTAAAAATATATTATCAGCTTTGTTTCCCACTTTTTACGTTTCTACGTTATCGATGTTTAGATTTCATGTCCGAATCAGTATCGGGTTTGGTTGGGATCAACCCAAAATAATCATACGAAAGAAATAAAGAAACTGTAATTGTTTTTTTTACCAGAAACTGTAATCATACGAACGAATAGCAACGATATACAGTATATTGTTCACCCTTTCTTTTACATGATGAAACTACCAGTTTTGTGGAACTTGCTGATCATTTCCCTAGAGTCCAGAGCAATGACTTCAGCCACCATCTTCAGATTATAGGACACACACACACACTGAACGGAACCACAGATAAAATCAGCATCAAAATCTTAGGACATGCCCCGGTGTCCGTGTCTAACAACCGCACTTTCACACTCTTGCGAATCGCAACAACTATATCAACACCAAGCAAACATATCCATAGTAACTTACTAGCTAATACAACAACACCAACAGCAAAAAGACAATACCGCCTTGGTTTGGTACTGCTTCTCACAAATACACCTCAATCATTGATTGAAGTGTATCAATCGTAATCCCAATATCCCATCAACATAATTTAGAGAGAGGTAGATGAAAAGAGTTATCATCAAATTTCTATCACTGTTTACGTTATGCCCACTCACACAAATCCAAGAACAATGAATAATACATAACCATTGCTGTGACTGATTAACCAACCAAAAGTTAATCCAGGTTCGTACCGTTTTTTCCTTCATCTAGTTATTAGAAACCCTATCTTTAACCTCAAAAAGTGTACTTGCAACCCTTATGAGTAAAAACGATTAGATCTTTGGATCAACTACGTTCTTTTCTATTTCTCAAGCTAGAGGCGATTCCTTGGGCGCCATGCAAACGTCCTGCGTGCACATATGTTCGTTGAGTGGCTACCGTATGTGCCAAGAGCCCAAGAAGGTGAGTGAAAGTTGGTGATTTTGGCGACGGATTCCTAATCATCTACAAAAATAATCCATTTTTTTTATCTTACGACTACTTATCGTGTAACATATTGTATGTGTGCCTTTTGATAAAGTGTGCCTTTTGAGAATCACATTCCGTTGCTTCTCGTATTATACATTAGTACATTACATGCCAATTTAAGAAGAAAAAAGCAATCGGAAAACACTGCAAATTTGCGACTCTATACGTGTAATAAGATAGCTTTGAAAACAAAAAAAAAAGCTGTAAAGTCATTTGATGAAAAAAGTCACAAAACACACCACAAGGGACTGTTTGTTAGATATATACCTCTTTTTGTAGATATTAATCAATCAACTTTGTCTGCCACTTATATTTTCAGTCTTTGGTCTCAATTTCACTTTCATAGACCCCCAATCCATTCCATAGAACTGTTTTTACGAGTAAATAAGCAAAATAACACTTACACTTACATATATATAAAAAAAAACACTTACATATATGAAATATCGCGATTTTATTTTTGAAAACTCACATTCGTTATATAATCCCAAAAAACACCGACAAGGAAAATAATTTTTTTCTTTTTGTAAATGTACAAAATATTGCAAAACATTAATGTCACTTTTTCCTAATGAAACTGCCTTTTGTTTGGTGAGAACTTGTGCACATCCTTCTCCCAATCCAATTTCCAAGCAACGACTATCGCCATACTGTACCACAAATAATAACAGCAAGTCAACTTTTAGGACAAAGTAGTTTCATTATCTTCAACGCAGTACAAGTAAACCTCATGGATCCAAAACCATGTAGTTGTAAAGCGGTTTTATTAAAAAAAAATACCATAAAGGTCCAAACCTGAAGTAGGATAAAAAACACAAATCAGCAATTACACTAATGGTAATGGATTAGCCAGAATCCGTAACTCAGATAACACCTCTAATGCTTTTAACTAGTTTTCCAACTAATCTATCGATGACCTATAAGCCTCTTGAGTCCAATATTTATGCTAGCCTTGGACTTTTCTAATCTCACTAGATATGCAGTTCATGGCACTCTTCTGCATTCCTTATAACCTCTACGAACTACAATTGCTTCCCCTCCAGTAAAAGAACTTGTTACATTACTCAACAGAACTAATTTCCCATTATCATGTTAAGACAATCACAGTGAGGGACCCCTACAAACTCACCCCTATCCACATTCTCAGTTCACAATTACAAAGCACAACTGTTACATACTAAAGCACAGAGAACAGATCACCATATGTGTTAATCACCCACCAAGTATAACAGGCCCAATTGGCCAATACAATAAAACGAAAGGTAGAAGTTTCAAGACATTTGACACTCATATATGCACGGCACATCTAGAGAAGATTACCTATTTTAACAAACTTTCTATATTCTACAGGGCTTCAGAGTAATCTAATCTAAACAGCACCCTCTTCACTTCTTAGCTTAAGACAGGAGTCAAAAAAAAGTTTTTTTTATTTAACTAAACATCCAACGTTAGCGCACTACACGGAGCTTTAGCTCAGAAACCTGAAGATATCTTATAAGCGAGGATATATATTTGCTAGCAGAGAGAGGAGCAGCAAGAGCAATCCAGGAACTAGTTTTTGCCTATGAGCTTTTTTGATCAAGCAGCCATATTTGAGCTACATACCCACCACTATTGCAAAAACGGATGTCTAAAACGAAATTTTAACTTCAAGCTAAAAGGTATGGCAACAATGCAATGGCCAGAGTATAACTTTACTGTAGAAAGCCACACACTGAAACTGTTCTTGCAGCCACAGAACCTATTACCTCGGAGATTCTCCAAATAATAAAGCCACATTTTAACAATGTTCCGTGCAGCCACACAATCTATTACTTCTGAGATTCTCTAAACAATAAACCTAATCAAGTAGTCTTGCCGCACAAAGACAACAACGGAGAAATCAAACAAAGCTTTCTCAGTAAAGGCAAGATACAAACCTCAATCCAAATCTTCCTGCCTGGTCTCAAGATTAGAACCTCCTCCTCCTCCTCCACCACCACCACCACTTCCAGGCCCTCCAGACCCTGAACCCTCCTGTCTCCCACCCAACGGCCAAGGAAGCTGAATACTAAACCTCCTCGGAGTCCCCTGCCCACCATCCCCACTCGTCTGCCCACCGCCTTGCCCCTGACCCCCTCCTCTACTCTCATAATCAGCATCATCCGTAGGCAACTCAAACCGACAAACAGGACAAGAGTTATGCAACTCAAGCCAAGGCAACAAACAGCCCTGATGAAACACATGCTTACAAGGCATCTGCTTAACATCACACCCATCCTCAAACTCATCCATACAAACCGCACACTGATTCATCTCACTCTTCATCATATCCTTACTCACCTTAACCGTCGGCAACCCTTCAACCGCCGATTTCGAAGCCGGAGGGGTTCCGTAACGGTTGGGATCATTCTCGGCTAACTGCTGAATCAGCTGCTCGAGACCAGGGCCAAAGAAGTAGTCTCCCATATGCCCCGGAGGAGGCATCCGATTCGGATCTAACGGATGATCCTCGACGACGAACTGCACGTGCGTGCCGCTGGATTGGAGGTGCTGGAGATGGTTCTGGAGGAAGGAGATTGGGTCAAATGCGTCGGATTGAGGAGGAGGGGAGCGTGTGGTCATCGAGGGGGAGAAGAAGCTGGAGGAAGGAGGGGCGGAGGCGGAGGAGGAGCCGAAGAGGAGAGGGAGGAAGGTGGAGAAAGGATCTGCCATGGGGAAGAAATTGGAGGAGGCGGGGTTGAGGTTTGGGGGAGGATTAGGGATTGGGATTGGTTCGTCGCATTCTTCGAGAAAGCCGCCGGAGCAGAGAGGGCAGAAAGGATCGGCGGTCGAGGAGATTGAGATTGTGACTGTGCGGTTGCACTGGTAGCAGAAGAACGTCTTTTCAGTTGAGTTTCCGCCGGAAGACATGACGGAATCTGCGAAATTTCGTCGGAGAGAGAGATGAGAGAAAATAACCGTCACGAGAGAGAGAGACGGAGGAGAGAGAAAATTCTTTGGTATGTGGCCGACTCAAACTCTGTCCTACATGGTTGATTAAAGTATTTGGGCTTTATCAAACGCACGGCCCATGTAATTTTTTGACTATTAAAGGGATTCTCTTTCTTTTCTGCGAAAGTTCATTTAATTAATATAAGGGGTTTGTTACAGTGTTTAGTATACGTCAAAATTACAAATACATTGCGGTGGAATGAGTTGTTTTTTTTTTAAGTCATCTAGTAGATTAAAAGAAGTTTCAGTAGGATTATAACCATGGAGAAACAACAACAAAGCCCGAGAAGGATACGGAAGAGACAACCCAAAAGAGATATACGGGAGACAAAGCCGGCAAAGACATACCTTTCGAGAGACATGATATTAATTAAGAGACATAAAATAAACCATACTAACCAATGCGAATTTCATCTATGAAACTTAAACTTTCAGCTAACACTGCAAATAGAACCACGACAAGCCAACTTTGAAAGAAAGGAGAGAGGAGTCTTCAACCGAAGTGTCAAAAGTACTAGACAAAACACTACTGAAGAAAGGATAAGATGATCTCTTGCTTAACCCTCGTCCCAAGGTAATCAGAGACCTGGTGAAGCCAGGCCCGGCTCAAAAACTATTTGGGCCCTTGGCAAAATAACCAAATTTTCTTTTTTTACAATATAACTATAATAACATTAAAATTTTGGGCCCTCATTTTAAAAATTTTACCAAAAAAATGGACCCTTTTTTAATACTATTTATGAAGAAAATATTTCGGACCCTAGGCCCATGCCCCCTTGGCCATCCCTCTAAGCCTGGTTTGGGTGAAGCCACAAGTTCAATACATCGCCCTACAACAACTCATGGAGACAAACACTCTTCACACCCAAACAGTGGGGGAAACAGGATACCTCTAATAAACCACAAATACCACCTCGCAACCAGCAGACGCAAAGAAGTAACCCAAAGAACAACGCTCTATAGCACCGGAAAGATACACAAACATAACTAGAGCCACAATGGAGACGACTCCCTTCTTGAATTACAAACATAAATAATCTGAAAGGAATCTGAGCTTACCAAGAGGAGGCAAAAGGCCACAGAAGCATTGCCTTCACCAAACGCCTAAGAACCATAATAGCAGTCAAACACCCAGGAGAGGCCAATTGAGAATTTCGACAAAACCAGAGAACTGCAAACGACCATTGGACCCGAGAACCCGGCGCAAAGACCGACGAAAAGCAAGCTCTACCGAGATCTGGTACCACCCACGAGGTGAAATTGAGACCACCGACAAGAACCCACCATAGATCGACGAGTAGACGCCAAGCCTTGACCTCCAGCAGCTACAAGGAAGCACAAACAAAACCACACTAGCCAAACCGAGGAGAAAGAAGAAGCATTCAAGAGGAGGAAAATTGCATAGGAGAGATCTGTAAAAGCCTAAACAGAGCCAAGGGGGGTCCTCTCCGGCACCGGCCTAAGGCCTAGCCACCGGAGAGGCAGAGATCTTCAGAAACGAGCTTGACAGCGACTTTGGGGTAATTGGGAGAGAACAAGGTTTTTTTTTTGTGTTTGGTTTTTGCCAGCTGCGGTGGAATGAGTTGTTTAATAGATGTACTTGAGAAAAAAGTTGATTGATTGGACCTTTTTCTGCCAAATAGTCAACTACATAATTGATTTATATTGACACCTTCGTAAATGAAACTATTACTACATGCAGTTATAAAAAAATATTACATTCAAAGTGAGTTTTACGTTTATTATTTCACTATAAAACAGTTTCCACTACCAACACACTTTTTCTTTTATTTCAACATCTTTTCTCCTAGTGTCAAGATGTAAAAGTCTATTGCTACCCTTTTCTTTTTCTCTTTCTCTATCCTTATCTCTTTCTCTTTCTTTATATCTTTCTTTAACTGAAACCTACCTAAAATACAAATATTAATTCACATGGCCACAAATCAATATTTTCTCCTCTTCTTTCTTTGTCTCTTAAATTTTTTCTTCATCTTTTCTGTATAAATTTTTTTCCACCATAAATTTAACCATTGTTCATGTGATCGATGGATAACTCGGACGAACTTGGTTTGTGTATGTGGCTGTTTTTTATGATTCCAACGAAACTAGCTATGATTTAACTGAAACTTTCTGGATTTTTATTTTCTGATTTTGCCCCCATCGAATTTACTGTGTCACTAGCCAAAGCACCAGGATTCCACAATTTTTTTGGCGGAAATCGTTGTATTGTAAATTATGATAACATCTACAACTCTCGTCTCTTACGTGTTTTAACTCCTTATGTTGATGAAATGTAATGAATTTTGTCAAGCAACGAACATGTACACATGTATGCTATCACAATTATTGTACACATGGACGCTATAATTGTTTTGTGTACACATGCTTGTTTGTTGTCCACATGTACACAAACATTATAAATTGTTAACTATTAATAACAGAAAATAAATTCATACACTATGGTTGTTGTTCACAGTTGTGTAATTTTATTGGAAAAATAATTCATATACTTTAGCAATTTTTCAAATTAGTTAGCTAAAACCACAAAGTGTAAGTACGAAAAACAATGAGTAGCCAACTGATCCATTTTTTCTTGAGCAATTTGTACATTATATTCTTAAAGTACATGTGTACACCTAATTTGTATTGTACACCTATATTATTGTGTACACATTTTCTAAACACGTTTTTTTTTTCACTTAAAAAACCAAACCTCTGTAATGTCTGTAACTCACACCAATGTTAATGCATTGCAAAAAATATTTAAACAGTGTACATGAGGATTTTCTCTTCTTAGTGTTGCCCTATGTTCCATACATCAAATATTAGAGTTCTTTGTACACATTGTTCCTCCTGTATAATTCTTTTTGAAAATATATTGAAACAATACGATGACATTGTACACACTTCACTCATTGTACTCGTGTACACAAATAAGATGTACAAATGCTCACATTTTTAAATGAATGGCAATTTTGTAATTAAATCATCATTTTCATATTAGGGCTTCCAACCATTTCTGCAACAACATCTTGGAGCTGCCGTTGATTTTCTTCATACAATTTTATTTATTTTTGGTGATTTTATTTCCAAAACTCATAAAAATTGCATAGATTAGTTGATTATACCCAATAGAAAAACAAAAACAATAAATTTCTTATATTTTTAGAATGGTAACCAATTATAACCAAAATGCCATAACAACAATTTCGGAACGAGATTTTGAAGAAATCTCAACTTTGGCCATTGGGAATATTTTGTCCCTCCATTTGTGATAGTTGTCTCTTTTCACAAATATAAAATGTGATTTCAGTTACAAAATTTAATTATTGAAGAGAACAAGAGAAATTTCTTGTTTATTGCCAGAAAAGAAAAAAGGAGTTGAGAGGAGATCGAACACGAGACTTGAGATAAATTAGATTTTAATGAGTTGGTTTCATGTCACGCCCGCTCACATACAACAACAAGAATCTAGCCACAAAAAAGAACTTAATGATTATTGAAACAAGGAATTATTTAGTTGAGGATAACTATATATTTTTAACACTAAAAACTACCCAAGAAGTGGAAACTGTCCTAGCATGTAATAAAAATATGAAAACTGTCTTAGAGTGTAAATAACTCCAGTTATAAGCCCTACTATTGGATTCTTAACCAACACAATATTTTTGTAGAAATAGTCTTTCATTCTTGAGAAAATTACTTCCGAAGACACATTTTGACTTCCTAATAACATAAAAAGACACTTCTCTATTCCCACACACTTTTACCTTGATGATTGCCATTTATACCCTTGAAACATACTTCTCTCTCGTTATCTATCCTAGTTAAGTGACCTTTTTTATTGTTTTAAATTTATAAAACTTAATATAAAAAACCTACTTTTTCTAATCTGTGTAGAATTTAATTGGAGAAGATGACGGACAACATAAAGATGATGAATCAGTGACTGCTTCGGAGCCAGCTATAGATGTTGTGAAGAAGGAATCACTGATGGATAAGATATCAGAAAAAATCCAGCACGGTGGTGATTGGCGGTGGTGATTGACGATGACGGCGACGAGAAGAAGAAGTCTTCGAACTCTCCCTCTTATATGAAATCGAAAGCTTACCGCTTGTTCGAAAGGAAGTTGCACGTGCACAAGGTTCTTGGGGTGAAAGACGTACCCTAAATCTGATGTTGTCTTGGTTATGTGATTGTAGAACATGTAAGCTTTCTTAAGATTGAGATTTATTAGTTAAAGTTTGTGATTTGAATCTGAATTTGTAGTATACTTGTTGATTTATTGTTGAGTAA